TGTTTCCGTTCCGAAACACCTCATTGATGAACTCTGATGAGTAGAACTGTGTATAAATCCACATCCCAAGGGAGTGGGATGTGGAATTCCTTGTGCCGTGGCAGAAACTTTAAAAATAACGCGTTTTCCCCTCATACCTCAGCTTCACAGTCATTTCATCACCGCGTTCTTTTACTTGCTTGCTTGAAATTATGTTGCTGATTTTTTGTTGAAAATCGTACGGCACGGTGTGAGGTTTTATTCTTTTGTTTTTTAACTGTTGCTGAAAATATGCCAGACCATTCATAATTTGCAACTAACCATAAAACTCGTGTCCAATTTTGTATTGTCCATTACGCATGGCTTGTGTGTTTCATTTTGGGGCCACAGAATGATTCTAGCCCGATGGAACGACATTCTCGTTCTTCGATCTCTCCCCCATTCCTGCGGACGAGCACCCAGGTTCCGCATACACTAGGTTTATTCGTGAGTTTTTATGACGTTGTTTCAACCATAGAGGTTATATAGCGTAAAGTCAGATTTGGAGATAAGAAAGGCGAGTGATAAGAGAGTTTGGAAGAAGCTGCAGTGGCCTATTTTAAAGTTGGATGCTTAGTTTGATTTTCGATTCCTTCTCAGTTGGAAGGGGTAAAAGGAGTGACTATAAATTATGGTAAATTGGAAGCACAAAATGGTCGTGGATTTGGGTGTTTCAGCAGTTTCGTGGAGGGACTGAGGAAAAAAACAGAATCCCTCGTTTGAGGTAGACACGGTATCAAGAGTCGAATCCTGGGGACCCAGAATACGAACCATGCTCCGTCTAGCTTAAACTAGTTGTTGTAATTTCCATGACTATGCTAACAGAACGATACAAATTACAGTTATGTAATTATTTATGTTTACCAGTGACATCTTTAGTTCTGGGCATCATTTAAAGAATAGAAGTCTGGCGTTGCTGTAGGCGTATAATTATTGGAAACGATTAAAGATTACGCGTCATGTCTGCATGCCAGGCGTGGATTGCTGTGCATAATAACTCGTGGAGCAGCCAAACGACATTGAACTCTTGTCTGTTCCCCCAGCATTGCTATGACCGCGATAGCTCTCTGTATGGATTGTATCGATTACTTGAAATGTTCACCCTTAAGGAGCTTACATACTTCTCCATGTCTCCGTCTGCGCCCCTGCGTGCAACTGTAATTTTCGTTAACCCTTCTGGGAGCTTGCTTTGTTGCTGTCATCTGCAGGCCAGAAGAAATTATAATTCATCTTAGACACTAAATAATTAAGATAAAAAATTTTACCGGCTCAAATTCCGTTCTTGCAAATCGAAAGGTAAGTCACAACACTCCCTCACGCCCTGCCAGTTCATTAACCGTCCTCGTAGAAGTCAGTATTATAATGCATCGTCATATCGACATGAAATAAAGAAAGCTTCATTGCCCGCTTAATAACGAACTTCTTACAATCACAGAATCATGTATTTGTTCCTGCACATTTGCGCGCACACGTCCGGGCGACAGTCTTACGCTGTGCTTAAATGCGAATGAGTGCTCTGTTTACTTTTCAGTGTAAGGCATAAATCAATTAGCGCGGAGACATTTTGTGTAGGACTGTTTTTCCTTTCGATTAGTGAGGCTTTCTTTTCAATTGTTCTTGATCAAGGGACTTTATTCTCAATTCGCCTCGTCTCGGCCCGCAGTAAATTTGTCGGATGTTAACCTTTTGAAGCCGAAGCTAGTCTAAATAATATTTAGTCATCCAGTTTGTACCTCAAAGAAACACAGCAACACTTGACCATTACAAAGATCAAATGGTTAACGCTGCTTAGGGAAATAATCCCTTTTTACATTGAAAATATGTAAACATTTGTCGGGATGAAAGATTTTTTGAACAGAAGTTTTAGAGTTAAATGAAATAAATTTTAATCGCAGTATCCCAGTACAGTATTTCCGAACGCAGTGCGATTTTCAAGATAATTACAGAAAAGGGATTTTAATATTGTGTCATGTCGTAACTCGAGAAGTTTTTGACTGGTTTTAATACAATTTGTATTCGAGGACCTTGGTCGCCCGGCATGCTTTATTATAAGAGCGCATCTGTAGGTAATATTAACGAAATGAAAGTCCATGATGAAGACAGCGAACGCTCCAGACTTACTGCCCTCTGCGTACATTTTCCAACTTGTTGGATCTACAACAAGGTTGGTCTCGTAGTGATCACCTGTGAATCTGTTTCGTGATAATCTGTGTTCTTTCGAAAGCTGACCAAATCATCTCCAATGCTATTGTCATTTGTAGAGATGACAACAAGACGTATTTTTAAGCCTAGAAAACAAATGCGAATGTTTGATGCGTGACGTATTTTTCCCCCGGATTTCGACCTTCCCGTCGGGATTTCCCTTCCCGAACTGGCGATTTTCTCTTCCGACCTCACATCTGTAGTCAGGAACGTACGTCATTAGAAACGTTGCATCAGGTCAGTAATGGAAACATAAAAACATTGCTTACGATCTGGACCACATCCTTTCTAGCGCCTTCTGATAAGCTTCATACGATTAATGCGTGCTCTTAAACCGCCTTGCTTTACAGAACTTTGTATTATAATTACCACCGTCGGAAATGGTCGTATATAACGTTGAAGATTCTGATTGAACTCCATTTTTAAGTAAGTACCATCCGACGAAATAGTTTGTCTGTAATTTTAGATACGTGGCCAGTGAGTGAATTCGCCTCTGTTGCTTAAGTTCCTTCTAAGATACTTTCAGTGGTTGAACCATTTATTTATATTTTCTACCACTAGTGGCTCGATCATAAAGTAATGTGATACGAGGAAGTGGAATGCATTTGTCAGGACGTAGTCCAGTGGCCAGCTGTTGACAATATGGTAATGAACCTTCTGATTTTATACGAGGTGGCGAATTACTTGGTCAGCTGAATAATGTCTAGAATGTAATCTTTAAATATACCTTGTTGCCTTGAACTAATTTCTTAATCATAAATACTATTCCAACAAAAGAGGTTTTTTCCCCCTGAAGTGTCAGTGATAAGACATAGTAGTTTGTTATATAACTAGACAGTGTTACGAGTAAGGACAGCGCTGTGTAGGAGTTTACGACTTGAAACGTAATGTATGTCCAATTATGTTCGTTTCGAAGTTATTTGCGAATAAAGAATGGGTTTTTATCTTATTTCATGTAAACTTGAACAGAAGCAAGATTTTCTATTATATTTAACTCAAATATGTGGCGTATTTTACTTTAAGTGCTTTTAGTGTGTGTTACTGTCATCTAGAGGTACCTAAATATTCTCAAAGTTATGTCGTTCCTCGTGTTTGAGGTAGTGCCGGCGTGCTGTCTTGTAGGTGCCTACCAACGAGGCGGCAGATTCATCCGATTGGTTGGTACAGACCCACAAGACCGTACGTCATCATATCCCATAAGACCAGCATCGATATGAGAACGTCACAGGTGTGATGTAGGCAAAGTCCTGTAGTATAATTTCCTTTTACCATTATTAATCCACTGGAATTATGTTTTATTCTGTGTAGAAGCTACTTAAAATTGTCACAGTTTTGTCAGGTACCTAGTGCGCATGTCTCGGTCCAGTTTATGAACTATTTTGTCTTTCACGATCGCGTAACGAAATGAACAAGACGGAAGGACTCTGACGTAGAAAGACTATTACTCTTCCTTACAGATTAAACTCGAGGATCGAAGAAGTACTATAGATGCCAGACTTACTTTCGAGGGGCCTTGGAGTTTGTTGTGTTTGCGAGAAGACAAACAAAGTGAGTAATAATATTCCTGTTTCTGGTAATACGACAAAACACTTTCAAACTTTGCCATAATCTTCTTGATAAATTTCGTTTCGAAAATATCTCGGGAAAGTACAGGCTGTGTTAGTTCTTACCTAAATCATCGGATTTATCTCTTCAGGAAGTGACACGTGATCTTGCAGGGTAATGAATTATTTCTGAAGAAACAATATATGTATATATAGATTTATACACAATGGAAATGTAAGCCAATTCTGTTGCGTCTGTACTTGAAATAGCAACCCATGCTTTGCGATAAGTTCAAGTGGCTCTTGTATGCCAGTAGGTGGCGGTTATAACTGATACAGTAGGGCACCGCATCGAATATCTTCCTGGCTACTCGTTGTGAGAGAAATTTCTCGTGATTCTTCGCACTGCATCCAGGACATTTGCCGGGATAGGATCTTTAAACACGACCGCCTCATACCAAATTCTTACCTACTCACCATTCATTGCCATGTTCCCTCTCATTCCACAACATTGGCCTGTGATATATGGAGTTGAAACAACGTCGTTAATATGAATAACGCACTCAAGCAAGGCATTATTTAAAATACGATATGACCGTTTACTTCCAAACTTGCTCATTTGATTCTGTGTAATCTGTGGCATTAAAATAGCGTCGTCAGATAACCTACGAATCATACATCCAACTTGTTGGTATCGTTTTGTAAAGCGTCTGAAATTATATGAAGATGGCTGTTTCTGGGATGCTGGACCGTTTCAAAGGTGATTACTGACCGACTGCCTGCCTGTTTGCTTTACTACCCTGATGATGGAGGAAATAAGCATCTCTGAAACGTCTGTGAACTTATATCCGACTACACGGCGCAACATCCCAGAAGACAGTCATCTTCGTAATCGCTACCGTGAGAACCTGAAATCTCACATTATTCCCATGAGTCTTTTGACCGTGCTCTAAGAAATCAGTTTATTTTCGGCACGCTGTAGGTTCCAAATTAATATTCTGTGTTGTCTTGGGCACTCGACGCGTATCATGAAAGTACTGATGCAGTACGTGGAACTGTCTCACAACTGAAATGTCTCCAGTCTTCTAAAAACAATTTTTCGTCGGTCTTTTTACCACTGTTTAGTTAGATCACGGACAAAAGTGTCTGAAGCAAAATATAATAGACGATTAACATATTTACGACCCATGATGAGTCGCTATCCACCTACTGAGAAACGATGAATATTTTGATTGGGTTAAAAATTCTTTAAATACTTATTAACTGCGTGTAACTTACGTTCATTATGGGTGACTGTGCATTCCTAGACAGAGAGACGATGCACTGATAATCAGTCACTGGTCCAGCGTTAGGATGGCTTGTTTGTGGACCCACCCCGGGTATCCGCGAACGTACTTGCTGTTTGCCCGAACCACGGTCCACTTGCCGCTGGACGGTGTTCTTCCGCTACACAAATCTCGACTGCACGCACGGATATTCCGCTCTCAGACCGGTGCTCGGTGGCGATGCATCGGTTTTCTAATTTTGGATTTTCGGTCGCCTGTCTTTTTGATAAGTCGCCAAGTTGAGTTGGGAAGAGAACAGAAACGAAAGCAAGGCAAAGCAAACTATTCCCACCCTGCGGGTTAACAAGTGCTAGCGCCTGCTACCGGGGCTTGGTCTTTGCTTTGCCTGCCCGTCGTTGTACCGTGTCTTAATTTTAACTTCGGAGAGTCGTCGGGCTCATGAACCATGTACATGATCCACCGGATTTAGTTCGATGACTCCATTAAAAATTATGTAGTGACATTTTTACCATGATAATAGGAAGTATCCCCAGTATAAAGATTTCCTGAGGTCTTCAGGTATTCTACACACAATGAATCAGTTTATTCTGATTTTTAACCTAGCGACATGTAATTTGCTTTTAATATTTGTTGCCTTAAAGAAGAGTTCTCCGCCGTTTACTGAACACACATAAACAAACACACCATAATTTAGTATCAGCAAATCATTGAAGCGAAATGAATGGAATGGCCACTTCGGGAAAGCGTTGTATAATACAGGATGCTTCAGTACTCATATTTTAAAACGCCTGAGGCGTCTTACTACACAGCTGACATTTCTGGAAGCGTTTCCAGAAATGTGTTTGTTTTCTGATACAGTTAAACTCTCTTTCAGCAGCGAATGATCTGTGAACTCGGTTGACTGAACCAATTTATCATATTTTGCCATTTTATTACCGGAGTATTCATATTCTTTCGAACCGTGCCACCTTGCCATTCTGCATTTGGGGTGTGCGGGGAGCGTGGAGGAAAGCTCCATGTTATCAGACTATGTATACGTATGTATTTATATGCTGTGTATTTATTGACGTTTCCTAGAACTCTGTCTTACGGGGGTGAGCCGAGTGGAATGTTGGAAGTTGTCCAATCAACGTTTCGGAAAACATTACGGATGTCACATCGAACTCCACCCGCAAAAACCTAAAGACAGTCGTTTATTTAGGTTAATTGCTCCTTAGTACTTTTGCAAGCGAAATTGAAGTACCCGATCTGAAGAGAAACGTCGACCTCCAAGATACAAGTTCGTGAACAGCGCTGTTTTTTAATTCTCTGCTTTAGGTAGTAGGCTAATGAATTTGCAGCCACACACACCTTTCTGTTCGAATATCTGGATTAATTATGTTAATTATTATGCATTAAGGACGAGATGTGGGCATAAACATTGCTAATTGGATGCCAGTTAAGTTTGTAGTTCATGCTGTACAACGGAACTATACCATATGTTTGGTGAATCCATGGTTCGAACCCCAAACGTCAGTGGTCTTGAATGAAATTATCTTCTTTTCCAGCGGTAGGATCTACGTATCGCGTTACTTGGCAAATTAGTAAATTTAAATTTGTCTCTGTCCCTAAATAAATAAATAACATGATTAGGGGGCAAACAATTAAGCTAAGAAAGTTGTCCAAACGTTTTCGAGAAGTTTAAAATGAATGCGTAATGTCGTGTCTACCCGTTCGGATGTTACGTCATGGAACCTGCTAACTAGATTTGTATTAAATTTGATATCCAGTCAGTATAGTGACTAGCTACGGGCTGGACGGTCGGGGTTCGATCCCCGACGGGTGCAGAGGATTTTTCCTCTAGCCTCTGCGTCCAGACCGGCTCTGGGGCCCACCCAGCCTCCTCTACA